AAATCAACATCTACTAAGTTCCTATCAGGTGTGCCAGAAATTATAGCAGCACTCACAGTATATAACTCATGTATAACATAGAAGAATCACTTTTTATAGGTGAATTTTAAAGAGATACAATGTTTCAATGTGAATAAATAGACAACCCAAGGCTTAAAATTATATAGCTGCAGCCCTCATACCTGCTACTCAGGTATGCCACCTCAACTTCTACTTCCGTTTGCTACCTTAACTCTCTTCCCCCCCACCGCCAATTGCTGGGGCTCTAACCCAGGGCTCTGCATATGTTGGGAAAGCACTGTTCACACATGTCAATATAATATAAAAGTTACATCATTTCATATGTGACTTTTCTAAGCATGCCATCATTTCATATCACCAAGCAACAGCAAATAGGAAGTATACTAGCCACCACTATAGCAAGCTCTGTCCAGTCACCTGTGTCTCGGAAATGTTTGTTGCTCAGTTCTCTCTGCGCACTTTCCCTTTCTCTTCATTTTTCAGCAGCCTCAACCCTATCTAATAAATACCCCTTCAATTAAGTTATCTTCACGTATTATTTCCAACATACATTCTTATACCTACTATAGTATTTATTGGTTAGAAATTTAAAGTTTCTTTTTCACAAGTACTAGTATTTTTATTAGTAGTATCAGTACCCTGGTTACAAAGTTGAATTTTTAAGCTAATTTTATAAAACGTAAGTTTTTTAGGAATGCATGTATTATATCATAACAAAAATGCCTGTTCTCAAAATATCTGATAGACAATTATGGAATATTCAATGTTCAAGAGGCACTATACTTTTGTTCATTCAACAAACATTTACTGAATATTTCATTTTATTCAAAGTGAATAAATCACTGCTCTAACCTTTGGAGACACAGCAATGATGGGCAAAGAATGAGTGTGTGTGTGTACACATGCACACACAATTTTTTAATATGTTCAACTAAATAACCTTGAATTACATGTTATTGCTGGAGATTCATTTTAATCTCTTCTTCAGCAGTGTTCCAACCTTTTCAGAAGAACCTATTTTGGAAGAGAAATCTTAAACAGAAACAAAACATAACAGATAACTAGCAGAACCCTGTATGTTCAACCTGCCAGTCATACCACTGTCTCCAGCAACAAAGCCCCACCCTTACATGACTGCTTTATAAATAGAGGGTTTGACATGGGTTGAAAAATTAAGTCACTGTAAAGTTTGTTGGGAGATTTATACCGCTTGAATCTTTCATGTGGCTTTTCCCCTCTCTTCCATGCAGCTGTCCTAGTAGAAACCCTGAGACTGACTACAGCCAGGCCTTGACCCCCTAAGGTTATGTGGAAGACTGGAGCTTAGATGAATGGACACTGATAGCAAATAACTTAGGTCAACAACTTGGACCTAAGAGGAAATGTTTTCACTGTCACAATGGTAAGACCTTAGAGGGTGAAGACTAAGGTGAAAACCTGGAGGCAGGGAGGCTTAAGAGATTATTTACCTTGAAAAGGCTGTAAACTTAAAAAAATAAAATAAAAATAGCGAAAATATTCTCACAGATGATAAAAGAGCTCAACAAAGTGATCAGGGTGGAAAACCAAAAGGAGTTTTAGGGTACAGTCTCATTTGGGGATATATTAATAAACAAAACAGACAAAGACCTCTGCTCTCTGAGGCTTACACTGCAGGGAGAGAAGAGAAAAGGAGAACAAACATGAAAAGTCTAAATATTTAAAGGATGAAGCCAAGTAAAGAGGATCACGATTGCTAGGGAGGAAAAAAGGTAAAAGAGAGTGTGGTCTGCTATTTTAAACAGGGTAGCCAGAGGAGGCTTTAGTGAAAGAAAGCATGGCTTCTGGTAAAAACTTAAACTGAACGAACAGCTGTTAAAGGAGCTAACCCCTGGGGATGGGACGTCTGCATTCCTGCTTGTGGAACAGCAAGGGTCTGGCTTGGTAGAGTAGTGAGCGTGACAGACGGACAGAAAGGTAAGAGATCATGAAATGGGAGGAGAGAGCAGGTCTTTGTAAAGATTGTGGCTTTTTTCCTGCACCACGACAGTACTGAAGGAATAAGCATATATTTTAAATAGATTACTTTGCTAGGTGAAGAATTAAACCACAGCAAATCACAGGTATAATGTGGGAGAGTAATGTATCGCTACTCAATTATATTTCTTTGATGTATTTCATTTATTCAGATAAACTAGAGGCCTCTGCATGCACAGGAATGGCTATGAAAAGCTGTCCTTTTGTGAAAAGACAAGAATCTCTGTCTATATTAGTAAAGTAAACAGCAAAGGCAAACAGAGGCATTTCTATCTCATAGTCCCCTTACTACCCAGGAAAGATTTTTTCAGATAAAGAGAGCCAAGGATCTGTCAAGTGGCCCAGTCAATCAGGCACAAGGGGGATGTCATCTGCATAACAAGACAATCAGTCTTACGGCGTGCTCACTCCACCCAATCTTCCAGAGCTTGGGTCACCTCACTCCTCACCCTCCAAGTCCACACCTCTGTCCCTCTGTTCAGCTCTACATAAAGTTCAGCCCTTTTCCCTCTCTGAGACTTATACATTGTGTATGATGCACATTAATAAATCTCTATGCTTTTTTCTCTTGTTTAGCAATGTATTATCAACTCATTTCATACACTAAAATTATCGACATATCAGAGGGAACAGAATAAATTTAAAACTTCCAGGTGAGCAATGATGTTAACTGAACCAAGCATTAGAGTTACACAGCAAAATCCTTAATTCTTTCGTTAAAACATAGTTAAGCGATTCCATTCAATGTATCACACACTCAATTCCTACAAATTACTAGCAGCAACAGACTCTGCAACAGAGCTCGAGTTCGCTCAGCCACGGAACAGCTGACCCCCAGCACCACTCGGGCAGCGCGCTGGTTCAAGTTCTGACCACCCCGAGCATTGCTTGGGCAGCTGTCATTTCAGTTAGTAGATGCTTATATTGAATAAATTTGATAAAGTTGTCGCTTTTATATTTCCTGATATATTGTCTTATAAAAATTAATGAAAAAATATGCAATTGTGGGTCATCCTGTATTTAAATAATTGGTCTGGTAAGTAGTTTAAAGTATCTAAGTATTGGTAAGATATTTCCTATAAAGTCTATTGTAAGTTTTCTACTATCCCAGTACCTTTCTTCATTTATATTCATTTCATTCTATTTTTATTCTTTTCTTTATTATCTTAAAATGATGTAGGAAAGAAAAATCAAACATATTTTTTAAAGTTCTGACCTTTAAGTCAGTCATGTGTTTCTTCCTTCTTTTCTTTTCCCAGTGTATTTCTTTTTTTTTTTTTTTTTTAGTATATTTCTTTTTTAAAAAGTGAAGATAAACATAGTGAAAAAGTGAAGATAAAGCCATGAACCTTCTTCTACGTTGAGAAAAATTCTGGGAATTGGTGAAATCATTTTCTGTATTTTCCCATTTCCCAATATTACCATTGACATCCAGATAACTTTGCTATTTCTTTATTCTCCTATTTGGTAATGTATCCTAGCTCCCTTGCAATTTCATTATTCAAATTTTAGGAGAAAAACTACACAGCACAACATAAATGGTTGATTTCTGCTGGACATGGTGGCATATACCTGCAATCCAGCTATTCTGGAGGCTGAGGCAGGAGGATCACAAGTTCAAGGGCAGCCTGGGTAACCTAATGAGACTACCTCTAAATAAAAATAACAAGGGGTGGAGAAATAGCTCAGCAATCCCTGTGTTCAATCCTCAGTACAGCACCACAAAAATAAATAAGTAAAATAAATAGTAATAATAATAACTGTTTGACTTTCATAAAGACTAGCAACATTGAAATAAAAGATATTTTGGCTGACTCTGATACTCAGAAAGATGAATGCTTCTGTTTTACTTTTTACTCTTAGTTTCCTAACATTAGTGACTGAGTTGGGGAGTTTAGGGCACAGACTTCTGAGTCTTAAAAATTACTGTCCAAAACATAAATTCAAGACTTAAGAATCTGAAAGGAAAAAAATATAAATCACACAATTTTATCATGTAACTTCAGTCATCCTCCCCCTTATTCATAGTTTAATTTTCCACAGTTTCAGTTACCAACAGTGTACCACGATGCAAAAATATTAACAGAATATTCCAAAATAAATAATTCATAAGTTTTATAGGACTTTTTTTTTAAGAGTAGGAAAAATTTGAGAGAAAAAAACCTTCTATCTACGAAAGACAGAAGGGACTAGAAAGTGGGTTGCCTCAATGCCTAAGCTTTAAATTGCCATTCTAAGTAGTGTGACAAAATCCCATGCAGTCATTTCAGCCTGGTGCATAAATCATTCCTTTGTCCAGCATATCCATGCTGTATATACTACCCACCCTGTGAAAGAGATCACATGCACATTTTTATTAGAATATATTGGTATAACTCTTCCATTTTATTATTAGTTGTGGTTAATCTCTTCCTATCCCTAACTTAGAAACTGAACTTTATCGTAGGTGTATATATATACAGGAAAAATTTAAGTAGGGTGTGGTACTGGCTGCAGTTTTATGCATCTACTGGGGGGACACAGCCCCACAGAGAGGGGCTATAATAGAGACTTCACGAAGGCCTCATGTAAGGAAAAACTTAAGAGTTCTGGCCTCTTAAGGACTTTAGAAACTACTATACATACCTAAAAAGAAAACTTAGGATTTCTATATGCTTATTTGATAAAATTTTTATAATAGTGACATTTATTAGGTGAAACAATGCTTCAAAACTTTAAGTTCTCAGAGATTAATTATCTTATTTAATATAAAGTATCAAATTATCTGAAAATAGCCTGGTGCTTAACTAATCTAAGAAAGATAAAAACTGCCTTTCAAAAGCAAAAGTGGAAAATTATTATAGTCTCATAAAAATATTATTGAAATGATTTTTGCAAAATCATATGCAATAAGTGAGTTTCCAACAGCTGAACAGGGCAGAAGCACAGACGAGAAGGGATCCACAGCACTAAAACAGTCTTACCTTCTGATGTTTTCCACTGCTTCCACAAGTCCTCAACAGTTATATGCTTGTCTTCTCTGTGCAGATGGCTGTGCTTATTAGTAGCATCTTTATATTTCATATCTTCTCTGATAAACTACGAAAGAGAAAATACTAAATTAAATATAATTAACTAGTTTAGGCAAACTAAAAAAATAAAATAAGGGGGCCGGGGATTTAGCTCAGTGGTTTCGCCACCTGCTGCACAAGCGCAAGGACCCGAGTTTGATCCCCGGTACCAAAAAATAAAATAAAATAAGGTAATAACCTAATAACGGGTATATTTTTGGTTCTTTACTGCATATTTTATACATTTGTTAGATATATTTTATGTAATGTCTTCTGTTACCAATCATGATGACAATACCAACAGTAAAAGTATCAACCAATATTCATAATTCACAGGTAATATTCTTAATTATATAACTAACATGTATACACAGATGCACACATACAGTAATTTAACTTTGTTAACAGTCCTTTAAGGAAAAAGGAAAGTATTATATCTCATTTTATAGATGAGAAACCAAAGCCTAAATAAAGTGGCTAAGTAATACGTCCAAAGTTACAATAACAAACAGTAGAATTAAGATTTCAATCCAAGTCATGGTTATATTCAACAGCATAATATACTATCTGAATATTATACATTTTTGCCAAATACTTAAAGAGTATTTCAAAGCATAATTAATACTAATATCAATTATTGCATCATATGTTTGTGTTCTACTTTTAAGCTGTTGTAACTCAACAGCGTTTGACTATGGTATTCAGAATTGTGTATTTCACACAACTGAAAGACTACCTCTATTAGTCTTACTTTAAAATATATAGAGAGAAAGTACCAAAACTATCTTTGCTTAAAAGTCATCCAGCTCATATTACTTTTGTAATTGCTTCCCAGTGTCTACCAATTAAAAAATAAATTCTTTTTTGATGGCTTATGTCCCATTTATCAACCTTATCCCTGGATAATCTTTTAGACTTTATCTCTAGATACTTCTTCCATACAAATCCATTACTCTAATTATATGAAATAAGTTTTTTTAATTTTTAAGTTTGTTCTACTTAGTATTTCTGATTTTTCTTATTTTGTTGTTCTTTACTAGTTATTTTCATTGATTTTTATTTCTGATTTCAAAAATATAAAATCATACAAAAGATTATTTCAGAAATCCAAAATGCTAAAAATTGGCAATAGTCCCAAAACCAGAGACATATTTCTCAGATTTTTATAAACTGAGAATGAACATTATCTTCAGACATATATTGTTTTTGGCTAGACATAGTCTACATTAAACTATTTAATAGCCATACAATACTAAACAAATCATTTCACTTTTCTCAACTTCAATGACCTGACATACAAAATGAAAAAAAAAAAGATTTCAGGATCAACAACACTATTTAACATGTGGTCAACAGACTGGCATCAGTAAGAACACTGATACTGTTCTACAATACTTTATGTATTGAAATTGAAAGTAAGCACTTAGGAACCTGTATAGCAATTTCACAATGCTTTCAAAACATCTGAGCCATGCATGGGAAAAATATACTCATTTTATAGATGCTGTCCATTACAGACTTGAGGTTAAGAGTCTGGTCCTTCAACATCAGTAGTTTAAAAGTGCTAATCCGGAAGATTTACATTAGTATTTATGTATTCTGTGGCTCTAAATAGAACAGTAGCTTAATTCCTTTTGGGGGGGGGGTACCAGATATCAAACTCAGAACTTTGCACTTGTGAGGCAGGCATGGCCCCACTGAGCTAAATCCCTGGCCCTTTAATTCCTTTTTTCTAACTGCTTCTTTTTAAAGTTATATTTAAGGAGGACGGTCTGACTGCCCCAATTCCTCCTGATACTTCTCCTATTCTTCCTGACACTTTTGGAATTCAGTAGAAATACCTAGAAAATAAATCACTGCTACTGAGATGCTTAGAAACCTCCTAAATCTTGGAAGAGGTCCAAGAGCTGGAGAGAAAATTTAAGACTGAAAACCATGAAGATGGACGGACAGGAAGGAAGTGTCTCTTGGAATGGTCCAGTCAGCTTGAACAAATGTTAATTGTTTCATTTACATGATACATATTAAATGCATGTCCTAAGAAGTTCTTTCTACCATAGAAACACAAAGAACCTAAAAGTACAGTTCTATGGCTGGGGAATTAATAGAGTTCACAAATAAAACAATTTCCATATAGAGATGTGGTACTTAATAATCTGTGCTACTTAATAAAGAACAGAATGAGTTTATGGATGTATATCAAACATGTACTTAAAAAAGCAAAGATATCCAAAAAAAGGAAATATAAAAAGGAAGAAGCTTATGGAAATACTTATAGATCACTTAGTAGTATAAAAGAATTATCTGTTCCTAAGTAAACTGAGTGAAAACTGAACACACTAGAAGTCATCAACTTTTCAATATCCTATAGGAATATACAATTCTGACTGCACAGACTTTTCCAAAGCTTTACAGAAAACTGCTAATATTATACATGAAGCAAGTTAACTAGAAAAATTTTGAAAACCATCATTGATAACTGAAAATGCATGAACTAGACACTTTTATTTATTGCAATCCATGATTCAAGAAGTCTAAAATTAGAATGTGAAATTCTATTAAGAAATACTTTTATTACAGCAAATATTAATGCAATATGCAATTATATGTATAAACCTACTCTAGGAAATCTTAAGTTGGTAATACAAATAAAGGAGTGTTCAATAAATAAATAACTACTGAATATTCTTTTCAAAAGGATTCATTCAGAAGATTATTTTAAATAAACTCTTGCAGTATCATTAAAAGAATTTGCTTCATGTACCTTCAGAAAGTTAGTGGTTTTTGTTTTTTGTTTTTTGTTTTTACCGGGGATCAAACTCAGGATCTTGCACTCGCAAGGCAGGCGCCGGAACCACTGAGCTAAATCCCCAGCCCGAAAGTTAGTGTTTTATAATTCATTGATTTCAGTTTCTTATACGTAAATATCTTATATATGTGTAAGTTAAGTTTTATGATACTGTTTAAATGATACATTAGTTATTATTATAGACATTATTTGGATCCTCTATTTAGCCCATACCCCTTTTCTGAGGAACTACCACCAACATTAATATAGATTCCTGCTTGTTTCCACTCACGCTCCCTCAAACTAGAGCTATGTGATCAAAGTACCCCTTAGGAGAATAACCCTAAATAACCCTAAACTTGGATCAGGATGACAGAATTCTTTCTCACTAGAAACTACAACTGAGATCATGAAAGCTGATTCCCTTGGCCATGACTCTGGATGGTTCAGGTGGTAAGTACACTGGTAGCATGAAGACGGGCCAGATGGTAAAGGAAACAGATGAAGCCAATAAACATGCAGAGAGAAAATAATGAAAAAGAACAGTGGTGACCACAGAGAAGGCAAAGGCACCACGAACTGCTCCAACACTTGAGGACTTTCTAGTCAGTTTCTCAAGAAGCCCTGAGTGGCATAATCTTTATCCTGATTTCCATGATACAAACCTGTATTTTCCCTTTCATTTTTTTCCCTTAGATTCTTTTATTGGTACATTTTAGGTATACAATACATTTACATTCATCACTGGGAACGTGTACCTTTACATGATGAATCTTGGTTCTTATTTTTTCCTTATTCCCTGCCCTCCCTTCACCCACTCCACCCTTCCTTATTTACAAAGACTTTGTTTCTATTTTTTCCTTTTCTCATAATTTTTCCTTTCCCTTCTTTCCTTTCCCCTACCCTTTTGGACCTTTTCTTCCTATTTCTCATTATCAATTACTCATTTTAATCATTATTTACACTTTCAGTTTCTCACACCAGAGAAACTATTCGGTATTTACATATGTGTGTCCTATTTATTTTACTTAAGAGTATGTCCTCAATATGCATCCATTTCCCTTTCATTTTTAAATGTACAACTTTAAGACCACAATACCCAGAAGATATGACTCATCATCACAGTTAAGCACTCAGACTCTGGAATGTGACAGACTATGTTCAAAATCTGACTTCGCTACTTTTTGGCCTTCTATTTCTCTTCTGTACAAGGACAGAAATAAAACTGCCTACCACATATGGTTACGAAGGTAAAATTTAACATGCATATATTAGTGTACAATGAAAAAGATTTACACTTAATAGTTTCATTTCAGATATTCTGAAACAAAATATGCAAAGCAGAGATGGAGAGGAAAACCACAGCCTCTTCACTGACTATGTAGAGAGACTTTCCCCAAGGACACCTGTCATCAAAACAACACAATGTCCAAGGTCTAATACATGAGTTGGTTAAAGCAGATGGGATCCTGATAAACAATTTCAGTGTCTTTCCATCTTAAAAAGAATATTAAAATAGCTCAGTACAATGTCTCAGAGGAAAGAATATACAACAACAACCAAAAAATACCACTGTTATTTCCACTTTTAAAAATGAAAAAACTATAGGAGGATCAGCAACTTCTCTATGTCAAAGAGCTATTTAAAAGGACACACAAAGACCTGAGGATGCAGCTCAGTGGTAAGAACTCTTGCCTAGCACACACAGCTCCCTTTGTTCAATCCCCAACACTGCAAAAAATAAAATAAAATAGATTTAGTACTGTAAGTGAATTTTGAAGAATTCCAGCATTTAAGTTCTTCAGCACTGTGCCCATCCGGATAGTCTAGAAAAAGGTACTGGCTCCCAAACTCTTGGAAGTGATAGGATTCTAATCAAACATGAATTATCAATATTTCTCTTTGTCCTAAAACTGTTAAATCAAACAGCATGGTTGCTCAGATCCCATTTTGGTCTCCACACTACACAGATATCCCAAATCTGCTACTTATTATAGTTCTGATTTTTTTTTTGATTGTTCTGATCTTAATTACTTCATTCTCTGTGCTTCAGTTTCTTCATTTGCAAAATGGGAACCTTCAAAGGGTTATGAGGTTTAAGTGCTTTATTTCATATAAAGCATAAAAAATAGTGCTTGGAAATTTGTAATAGCTAAATCTTGGAATCAGCCCAAATGCCCACTGATGGATAAACTGATAAAGAAAATGCATTTTTTAATACAATGGAGTACTACTCTGCC